TATATATATATATATATATATATATATATATACCTATTTTTAAATACCCCAAATTTTTAAACAAATATGAAATAATCACATTCTTTTCTTTCAAACTTTCTTTTGGCCTGTATAATTTTTACTAAAAAAAATTCACTTTTTTTTTTTGACCAAATATACTTAATACCAATTCTGTTGTCTAGAAGTTTATTGCAATATTTTAATTATGTATTTATATAAGGCCTAGGCTTTATGGAATTAAAGTAAAGCCTCATCTCGAATCTTTGTTCTGAAAGTACTTTGAATATCAAAAATCTCCATAATGGCTTTAAAATCAAATTTTAATTCTTGCAATTAAATTTGAAGCTAAAAAAAGTACACATCTGAATACCTATTTTCAAGGTGAAATAAATTGTTTAGATAATGAATTATAATATACACTATTTTGAAAACTTAAAATCCTATTTTTTTCACAATCATAATGATCAAGGCCGACATGATCAATTTGAAGGCCTTCCAACACCAAAACTGTAATCTTTGGTGAGTTTTGAGGTGAAGCTTTACCCCTATCAAAAGATTTTCCTTTAATTATTTATAATTTACCCATGCAAACAAGGAAGAGCTCGGTAGGAGCTCCCAGGCCCTTATGGCCCTCTCATGCTCTCTCTAAACAAGAGTTCTTTACAAGTCCGAAATAGAGGTGGCAAAGGGTACGGCTGGATCCGGATCTAGACTTCAATAGTATTGGGGTCCAGGTTTTGGACCTGGATCCGATCCGTCGGGTCCAAAAGTTTGATCCATATCCGTATCTATCGGATCTCGGATTTAGTCTGGTTCATTGCCATCCTCATTATGAGCTTAGTTTTTTTTTTTTGTCTTTTTTCTTACCATCATATACCCATATTATTCGTCAGAAAGTCACAATCACCTGCCATTAGATTTCAAACCGTCCGATTTGTCATTTAATAGCAAAAAAATAACTATGAATTATTGTTGTATACAATCTTTAATACACCCAAATGAATAGGGCTTGAAGTATTTTATCTCCAACAATTTAAGAGTACGGGTCGGGTCCATCCGGACCAGGACCCATACCCAAATAGTGTTTGGGTCCAAGTTTTGGACTCGAACTCGACTCTCCCGGGTCCAAATATTGGACCCATACCCGAGCCCATATTTGATAGACCTAACGGGTCATGGGTCGGGTCCTAACAGAGTCCGGGTCCATTGCCACCGATAGTCCCAATTGCCATCTCTTTTTCTACAAAATTCACATATGACATGTACCCGAATCTGGCTCTCTCTACAAAATAAATACAGGACATATGCCCGAAACTGGCTCTCTTTCTCTCTCCAAAATACAGATCGGACATGTACGCGAATCTGGTTAGACAAAAGCTAGAAATTGAATGAGTTGTGATCACATTGAGATCCAACTAAATGCGTAACCAGTGATGTGGATGTCTCAAACGAAACCCTTGCTTTTAAAGGGTGCGGTTTGTATAGAGACTAGGCTCTAAACAATCAAATTAGAGCCTACCTTTAAATAGTATCGAGAAATGTAGTTTCAATATTGAAAATCTTTTTGACAACCTTAAAATATATTTTTAAGTTTATTTATAAAGTTTAAAACTTAAAACCTAGTATAGATCAAGAGATCTATAAAAACTTGAAAATTGACGGTCCAAAAATGTGTTACAAAATACACTATTTTTAAAAGTTAAAATCTATTTTTTTCTCATGTCCATGCATCTTTATGTCGAGGTGATCAATTTGAGGATATTTGGCCATCAAAACAACCTCTTCCAGTGAAATTTTGGAGATAGGCTTGAATTTGATTGTTTAGAGCCTCGGCTCTATACAAAAAATTTTCAACTTTTAAAAAGCCAAAAGATTATGCTCTCCCGGTGCATATCTACATTCTTTTCATTGCGTAAAACCCTTTTTTGAAGTAATTTCAGGACCGCAAGTTCTAGAAACATAAGTGTTATCAAACAACATTTGAATTGGTGAAAGATTTGGTCTAGTATAGATCGATATAACTGTGAATTTAAATTAGCCGAAGTAGAATTTTAAAAAAAAATAAAATAAAATAAAAAACATGAGATATATTATATAGAATTTGTCCGACTCTATTTAACCGATCTGATTGGTCAAAACCAGCCAGCCCGACTGCACAAAACCTATCAAATATTGATTTTGAATATTTTTCACTTAAACTCGGTTTCACTTTAAATCAAACTAGCTAAGACACTACCCTGCAGTCCAACTAGTCACATCAGGTTATGCGGTCCGATCTTGATAACTATGGATGTAGCTCATACAAACCACACCCAAAAAAAAAAAAGATATTGCATGTTTATGAAACAATAAAATCTTAGGATTAGACAGAGTATGTAAGTTTTGGACGGTCAGGCCCATACATTCACGAACTCAAAATCTGATGTTCTCTATATGAAAATTTTCATTTATAGTACTAAAGTGGATACCAAACTTTCAGATGGACAAAATATCTTTCTAAGAAGATCTTTTCTCTTAGGGAACATATATACATTATGCTCCCCAGGGAGAACCTGCACAGGCTTAAAATAAATTATAAATTAGGATGATGAAAATGAAGGCTCAGGATCCTAGACTGTCATCTTGTAGCATACAAAAGTTAGTCTTGTGCTCATTACCTCAATGGGAAAAGTAGTAGAAACAATAATAAACAATAATTACAATTTACAAGAAAAGCTAAAAATAATAATAAACAAAAAAATTGATGAGAGTTGTAGTTAAGGAAGGAAGCAAGTCAAATATAATGAGTATTGACGTGTCCCATTAAAGAGAAAGCTCACATAAGGCTGAGGTCCCAAACAATCAAATTAACGTGCATCTAAAAAATGCAAGAGACAAGATTTTTTTTTATGCTAAAAAATTGTCAAATCTATCATCTCAATATCAAGATGTGTATGAACATGAGAAAAAATAGATTTTAAGACTTGAAAATATTACATCTCGTAATGTTTTTTTCAGACCGTCAATTTTCAAGATTTTTAAGTGTTAATAGATCCGTTTGATCTAAGATATTTTTTAAACTTTAAATTTTATAATTAGATATAAAAATACAGTATTAGATCCTCACAAAGATTTTCCGTACTGAAACAAGAGCTTTCAATGCTATTTGAAGATGAACTTTACTTAGATTGTTTAAGACCTCAGCCTTATACAAACTATGTCCAATAGGGTAATGATGGAAAACGAGTGAAAATGAAGATAAGAGTCGTGAGGCCATTAAAAAGAGAAGGGGAAACGGCGTGCTTTGATCGGCGATGGACTTTCAAACCGAGTAGGCCGCATCATGTCATCATGTCAAGAGAGAGAGACGGATTGAAAGCCAAGTAACAGCAGTCGCATTGAGAGAGATTGAGAGGGAGCTTCTAACTTGGTTTTGAAATTCAAAAGCATAGAATGATTCAACTTTGGAGAGCCAATACTAGATTTCTGTATGGTGACAAATAAATTTTTATATAATTTATATCAAGACAATGAGAGAGATTTTTTAATTTTTTTTTTTTGTTCTTTTGTGTTTTTTGAGCATCAACAAAGTTTCATTAATGTGGAAGATGGTCATAATTAATCTTCACTACTAGATGTGAAATTAGATTATTGTATTTATTCTTCAAACTTAAAAAAAATAATATATATATTCTCGAGCTTTGTATACATCCATATTACCATATTTCACATCGGATAGTTGGAAGTAAATGAACTCATTGCATACCATCCCATGTATAAATATGTACAATGAGAGTTTCTATACAAGTCTTACGAAAAATGCACATAGAGAAACAAGAGAGAGAGAGAGATCGATCCATTTCATTTCTTATGAACTCCTCCAAAGATCAATTTGAGAGAGAATATTTTCAGATACCAACAAAAAAGTACGCGTGCCAGAAGAGAGAGAGGATTCATATGGTCCAACTCATTTAATTTTTAGAGAGAGAGAGAGATTCATGCGGTCCCAGTCATTTAATTTTGCTTTGAAACTCCATTAGAGTAACAGACAATCGTTTATGCATGGTCTAAACGCTAGATGAGAGAGAGAACGACAGATTCATATATTTTTGCCTAAACGCTAGATGAGAGAGAGAGAGAGACTGAGAGGGAGATTCATATTATTTTTGCTTGACCCAATACACTTGATCAGAGAGAAAACTCATTTATTTGTTTGTAAGAACCTAGTAAAGAGTGTTTTATGCATAGTGGTTGTAAGAACATGGTAAACCATGCTCTGTGCATAGTCTTGTAGATGGGAAAGAGAGAGAGTCTCATTTCATTACAATTCGTTAGAGAGCACCATCTCATTTGAGTTCATTAGAGAGAGAGAGAGAGAGAGAGCAGTGTTCCAAAAAATCGCCGGGCTAAGCAGCCAGCGGTCCAGGCCGTGCAATGCCTAGGCGGGCGGCGGTTTAGCTTCAAAAGGGGCAAATGGATTCTTGTAACGCTGTTTTGGGTACATATTTTGTACAAAATATGTATATTTATATATTTTTTATTATCTAAATATAAAAAAACACAGAAAAATTACCCACCATATATGTATTTTTCACGTGACGCCTAGGCGAATATTAGGAAGGTGACCCAGACACCACCCTCTAGTTGGTCTGCTCCGGCCCATCCCCTTAAGCGGCCGCCGAGGCACTGGCCGGACGGTTTTGAGCAAGAGCACCATTTCATATGAGTTTTGGGTAGAGAGAGAGCACCATTTCCTTCGAAGTTCAGAGAGAGAGAGCACCATTTCATTTGAGTTTTGTAGAGAGAGAGCACCATTTCCTTCGAAGTTCAGAGAGAGAGAGAGAGCACCATTTCATTTGAGTTTTGTAAAGAGAGAGCACCATGTCATTTGGTGTGAAGTCGTTCGTTCTTTGTCAAACCCTGTAGACAGAACTTTATGCGTTGTCTCCATTGTACACAAAAGTTGTGTAAACAAATTGTGTTACCTTTTCTAGAGAGAGAAAAAGCCTGCTTTAACTCCTCACCATATTTTGGATTCCTCCTTCCCAGTGAGGTAAGCCTTACGACCGGGGACGTACATGTTATTCAAGTCGAAGGCAGGGGCATTACGTCATTCTCACACGGTACCTGCATTTATCTTAAAAAAAAATTTAACAGGTTTTAACAACCGTGGCCACATGCAATAAGTGTTCATCTGAACATAAACACACCTGCAACAAAAGAAAGAAGAAGAAAAAAAGAAACAAAAATTTTCATGTTCTTTTGCCCAAAGAACCCACTTTTTTCCCTGTGGTTTTGAAATTTCAAGATAAGAAAATGGGGATTGTTTCTGATGATGCACTAAAACACTTCAAAGGGTTAATAGATCAAGGTAAGCTCCAGCTCGAATTATTTGTTTTTTTGAATTTTTTTTGAATTTTTGGAGCATTGGGTTTTTGGTATTCCAGTGTTATGAAACAATTTTTTTTTTTTTTTTTTTGAGAAATTGATATTTGGGTTTTTGTGGGTTCAAGCAACTGCAAAGGATGAGCCGTTAAGGAAGACATTTGAGGTAAGAATTACTCGGTCTTATTTATGTAAAAATCTAATTTTTTCTGTTATTTTTTTTCTGATTCTGGTGATTTAGATATGAGACTATGAGGTCAATGCGAAAATTATGGCTTATCTTTAGCGACAAATCGGGGTTTTCTCCGTACTCTTCATATGCTGATGCACAAATATAGCTGGTCTTTCTTTTTTTTTCAATATCCCTTTTGTAGAAAGATTGAATTATGGGCAATTTGCAGTGATCTAATGTTGAAATTGATAGATTCAGATTATACCAATTCCCGTGAAATCCTCCATTTTTACTTTTTTAGTGATAGGATGAATCCTTTGAGTTGACATCTTTGAACAACTTTTGTTGTTAATATTGGCACAATGCAGTGCTATAAATGGTATTTTGATCTACTGTAGAAATGGATCCATGTCTGATGCATTCTCTATTTGCTCATTTATGAGTTTTTGAAGTAAATTGCATCTTGCAATAATTTCTTTCTAATTATTTTCACTTTCCATTATACTAGTAGCGAGGAATTGACACGCATTGCCTTACCAGGATGTTTCTTTTCGAATTTCTAATTCCTAATTCTAGGGCAGTAATCTTATTAGCTTTAGAGAAAGGTGGGTTCTTTTATTCAAAAAAATGTGAATTGTTTTTGGCTCTAGCATAACCCACACAAGATCAAATAGTTACGGTATGAAAGGCCATACTAACAATCACATGGGTGTGTTATCAATATCTTCTTTCCAGCAGTTCTTTTTTTTTGTTTTTTGTTTTTTAACTTGAATGGTTGCCTTTTTATACTTCAAGTTCTAGGTACGCTGTAGCGGTTCAAAACTCAGCCAAGTTCATTCGAGGTTGGCCGAGTTCCTCGGCCTCGGCACCTTGCCGAGGCAAGTATTTTAGACAAACTTGGGTTTGTCAAATTACTTAAAAAGTAATTTTTTTTTTTGTACTGATACACTAATAAATTATGTATAGATTTCTTTCTATATATTTTTTTATGTTCCTAATGATGATTTGTAGATTTTTCTTATTATAAGCTCTAATTTCTATTTTTCCCTTTCTTTGGATTTTTCTTGACAGTTTCAAGCTATAAAACAATTTTTTTCATAATCTGTCTTCTATATACGTTTTTCCCTCTTTTACAGATTTTTAATGATGCTTATCACTTCTTTTGGTGTTACTGATTTTTACTTTTTAAAAAAAATTGCCAATCCTTCCGCCCTTTTTGGGCTCATGTCGGACTCGGGCGAGTCCACTCGGACTCGCCCGAGTTACTTGGCTCAGGCAGGGGCCAAGTCCTGAGCTTTAAGCCAGGTTTTTTAACATTGTATGCAACGATTCTTCTATTATCTGGAAACAAAATTATTTACTACTTCCAATATAATTTGGATATTGAACCGACCCACTTAGTGAAAGGAATATCAAGAGCCTGATATTCTCAATCAATGCTTCAGAATATGCATCAAGGATATCTAATGGAAACTTTGAGGCGGTTTCTAAAGGCAAGGGAAGGGAATGTTGCCAAAGCAAATAAAATGGTAAGTGTGCCTCTCCTGATTTTCTTTCGTAACCAATTGAAGAGTATGATTTCTTTACATTTGTTTAGTTATTTATATCTTCTTTGTTCATACTGCACATTTTTCTGTTGCAGTTGCTGGATTGTTTAAACTGGAGAATACAAAGTGAGATTGACAATATACTGGCTGTAAGTTCTCATTCTACCAAACCCTCTAATATTACATGTTTTAGTTATAACCAGTCATATTAGGTGCAATGAAATTTTGATTCATTTCCTAGGTTCTTCATGAATCCTAACCGCATAGGGGGCTCCAATTCCAATGGTATCATGCTGATCGTCTTCGTAGTCACATTTATGCTTTTATTTTGTAAATCAATCTTCACATTTATTCTTATCAAAGGCTTGTATCTTATTTTCCCCTGAAAGTTAAGAAATGGAAGACTTGGAGGAGTTTTCAGTTGTCTAGAGTGGTTTTTATGTGTATTTCACCAACCATGCCTCTCAAGAACTTATTACCTAATAGATTGATTATGCCTGTCTTTCTTTTATTTTACAGAAACCTATAATCCCGTCCAATATGTATAGAGCAGTTCGCGATTCACAACTAATCGGATTGTCCGGTTACTCAAAAGAGGTGTGCTTGCAAGCTTTAAATCCACAAAAAAGTATCATTTATATCCTGCTTGGATAAGGATTGCAATCATAATATCTGTATATATTGTTCTTTTCTTTGCATTCTCTTTGGGTGATTCCCCAAACTTATATGTCTCAAAACTTTCCATGCTTTACTATTTCTGGTGTCATTGTTCCCCATTGAATCAGCTCATTAGTGCTCCCTGGTTTTTTCATGACTTTATGCATTTATTTCCTTAAGTTGCATGTGCATAATGTCATTTATTATTGGTTTAATTATCCACTTATTGCTTTTGAATTCTTTCTATTAATAAGTAACTACTTTGGTTTATTTTATGGCACCAAGGGTATTATAGAAAGAAATTGAGTCCTAAACGTACAAGCCGTCCGTATGCAACCCAAGTGAAGCCATGGAGTTTGCATTACAATCGGCGGATTGTTCTTCTGCTATTTTGTTTTACAGTGACTTCGCTTCTGCTTTATTTGGTGCATGTATGAATTTATCCCGTTACTGAATGAAACTGTGTACATTTTTCAAGGATGCCCAAGGGATGCTCCTTTACCATTTTTTATACAGCAAAAAATTTACTGATTTCTCAATTGAACTGTTAATTGAAGTTAGTGTACCAAAATTCACATCCTTTGCTTTAGAGACTAAATGTATATGGGCATCGCATAAGAGCTTGTAAACCACTATAGTCTGATTCCTAGGAAATTTGACCATTATAATTTGACCTCTCCAAACTTTTCGATATTAATAAAAGCTAGTCACATGCATATCATGGTATTATGTCTCTAAAGCCAATATTTAACTTCCAATTTCTGTTTTGCAGGGTCTTCCTGTCTTTGCTATAGGAGTTGGAATGAGCACATTCGATAAAGCATCTGTAAGTCTTGACAGTATTTTATCAACCTTTTACTCTGATATTTTGAGACTCATTTCTTTCTATATACCTACCCAATGAAATCCAATCATTATGTTCACAAGGATTTCAAAATATGCTCATATATACTAAACAGTCGAAATAGAGAGGGAAAAAAATCAATTTATCCATATGACTCTACAATAGGTATCCCTTTATACTTATTTTCCTGATGATTCATACAATTGTGCAAACTGCCATCAAAACCATGCTCATATCAGTGGAGCCTCTTTCAAGAAGCTGGCTGGAAGTGTTTATGATTCTCACAATTAATTCTCTTGCATTGCAGGTGCATTATTATGTGCAGTCACATATTCAAATTAACGAATATCGAGATCGTGTAATTTTGGTGAGTTTAGTAGCAAATGTAAATTCTAATTGAAAAAGAAATCCAGAAATGTAAATTCCGTTTCCTTAAGGGTATGTTTGCCCACCCATTCAAAACTGTATCTACTTCATCTGATATTGTGGTGCTTGTTATAGCCTGCCGCAACACACAAGCATGGGCGCTATATTGGTACGTGCTTAAAGGTTCTGGATATGACAGGCTTAAAACTTTCTGCACTCAATCATATTAAGGTTTGATTCTTGTGTTTGATAGGCTTCGCATTCTTTACTATTTATCTATTGCATCTTTCTTCTTCTCTCTCTCTCTCTCTAAGTTTTTGGTGATGTGCTTTTCCATTTCATTTTGTTCTTGCAACTTGGACTTTTTGAATGTTCTGGTCAGCAAAATGATGTGCCAAACCCTATTTGCACCAAAAAATGGTGGTATCCTATTAAACCAATGCTATGCTGATTTGGCTTTTCAAAGTTTCTCCAAAGAGCCTAATGATGATATACTTCAATTGCAAAAAATCCAGAGATGCACAATTCATCCTGGACTTTGCCTCTTGCACTACACAGCATTTATTTCCTGACAAAATTTTTTAAAACTCTATTTATCGTTCGGCATCATTTGCCAACGTTAGCCATTTCTATATTGTATTATCAAGAAAGAAAAGAAATCCTAATCATTTCGTATAGTTCTGGGTTTATTTTGAGTCATCAAGTTTCTCTGGGTTTTCTGTTTTAAAGGTCCAATAAATCCGGGCTGTTGCATCAAGCTCAATTATTCAATGTTATTTCTGTGTAAATATATCTAGTTGAGTAAGCATAACTCCTGTCTACGTCTCTAAATGCAGTTATTGACCATAATATCCACAATTGATGATTTAAATTATCCAGAGAAGACCGATACATATTATATCGTCAATGTTCCATACATTTTTTCGGCGTGTTGGAAGGTGAGGGTAAAGGTCCATTTTTGACATTTAATTTACCTAAATCTGATTTAATGAAGTTGGAATTGATGATTCACTTAGGCATGCATTAATTAATTTCACTAGATTTTTCTCCTGATTCAGTAGGAACAGGAGAACTTTGATAGGTCTTGTGGTCCATATCAATGCACGTGTTATAACCTCTCTCTCTCTCTCTCTCTCTCTCTCTCTCTCTC